CACCGATTATTGAAGAGACTATCTTGACTCCATTGTATGTTTTTGACTACATTGTCAAATATTAATTGAGCATAGTGGTTTGGGTCGATTTCTGAGTTCACTATCCTATTCCATTGGTCTATGTATCTGTTCTTGTGCTGGTACCAGGCAGTTTTGAGAACAGTAGCTTTATAGTATAGCTTGATATCTGATATTGAGATCACTCCTACTTTGTTCTTCTTTCTCAGAATGGCTGCAGCTATTTGGGGTCTTTTTTATTCCAGATGAATTTTTGTAGAGTTCTTTCTAGGTCTGTGAAATATGCCGTTGGTATTTTAATGGGGAGTGCATTGAAGCTATAGGTTGCTTCGGGTAGTATGGACATTTTATCTGGTATTCTGCATGGCCGTTGTAATGCAAACTGGAACCCAGACTACTCTCAGCATAGAAAACCATCTATCTTGAAAATCCAATTTCATAAGATTTGGGCAAGGCTAAACTTCTGAGACCTGGAAACTGTGACTGTTCTTATGGCCAAGGACAACTAAATTTCTTAGAAAATTAAAGAATAAATTTTTTTTTTTTTTGCTCGTTTTGCATGCCAGTAATGGGTCTGGGCATGCATGGATAGAAAATGAGACTTAATGTCTACCCAGAGGGTTTAGAGCCTGAATTAGCCTCCAGATGGTAAAAAGCTGGGGCGGAGATGTCTTGGAAGCTCTCCAAGGCTTGGTTCTGAGGACAAATATTATTGGCTGCAGCAATTAAGACAAGTTTTAGGCAGCTTACCATGGGAAACAGGAAGAGCAAAACCAGTGGAATTTATGCCACCATGTGGAATAGGGGCTGTTATTTAATACCATGCGTTGTCTCAGCATTCTGTATTCATGTTATTCTTACAGGTGTTTTCTGTCATTCCTGGGTGTGTTGTTGGTCACAAGAAACCGAGAGAAGGAACATCTGCCACAGTCTTACATTGATTTGGGGAATATTCCCGGTAAAACTGTATATTCTTTCATTTACAAGAGAAAATGTTATCCTCATAAATTAATAGCTGCTGGTATGATTTTGGGTGTTAAATTCATAGAAAACATATTTTCAAAACATAAGCACTTAGTGATAATACCAGAGGTGATGTTTTAACTGTGCTAATACTCATCTATTTGAATGTCAGGCTTGCACGGAACACGGGCTCTGACCCTGTTCTCTTGATTTGGGTGATATGGCAGATTTCCTCTGAGTTTCCTTAAATTGGAAAAGGGGAGGAGAGGAACAGGGAAGGGGTCCTAGCAGGCGCCCCAGTGCTCGGAGGGCCTTTGAGGGACAGTGAAAGGCAGAGGCCAGGCCGCTAAGGAACATCGTCCCTGAGGAAGGCGGCCTGTGCCCTGTGAGGCCAAGAGTAACATTCTCCCCAGACCCCTGAACACGAGTAGCTTCTTCCCCTCCTTCCCTCAGTTACCCTGGTCCCTTTAACATGCCTCATCTTTCCAGGCAGTTCCCTACTTCCACTGAGAATCACTCGCTTTAGTCATGCAGACCACAGAAGCAATGTCCAGAACAAAGGAAACACTCCACTGTGTCCTCCCCTCCATTCTCAACAGTCTCCAGCTTTGCTAGGGTTTAGGGTGACCTATGGTTCCTAGACAGGAGTCGTGGTGTCCTCACAGGTTCCTCCACCATTCTGTTAGGACCGAGCCTTTGAAGCACAAACCATTAACGCCGCGTCCGCACGACTGAGAAAACGTGGCCCTGTGAATTCTGTGCTCTGTTTCCCATGTGAGCCATCTGGTCGGCTAAGAGCGTTCAGTGCAAGAATTAAGAACTGGCGTTCATGGCAAGGTGTGCATTAGGGCGGTGACCTGTATGGTTAGAGGTTTGGTAGGAAATGCTCACTTATTTTCAACTCTTTTTCATTTCACAAAGCCCCGTGCATAGGATCAGTGGCCTTTAGAAGCCACTCTGAAAGGCTGCCTTTCTGTGTAGTCATGTGCGTTAGGCTCAACATAAAAGGAGACAGGGCTCCGGGGAGAAAGCTCTGGAGATGAGGGAATGCAATGTGTCAACCTCCCGGCCAACCCGGACTGGTCTCCGTGCCCAGCGTGGCAGCCCCTACGGGCGGGGAGACTGCCTCTCCCCTGGGCAGCGCTGACCACCTAGCGAGGGGCATGCAGTGCCCAGGGCCTTTCCTCCGCTGGCATTTTTCCTCTTCTGTTTAGAGCAGGGGTTCTCAACCCTGGCCGCACATTAGAATCCCCTGGGAATCTTGTTAAAATCCTGATTTCTGGGCCTCATCCTCTGGAAATTCTGTTTCTTTGTTACTAATGTTGTGGCCCCACCCCAGAACAAAGACACAGAATTTCCGGAGGATGAGGCCCAGAAATCAGGATTTTAACAAGATTCCCAGGTGATTCGAATGTGCAGCCAAGGTTGAGAACCACTGGTTTAGAGAGTGACCACCTAGTATAAAACGGGGAATAAAATGTGGCCTAGATAGAGGAGCAATTACTAGGACTTAGACTTCGCTAAGAGCTCGAAAGATTTCTGTGTGATTACTATCTCCGCAGGGAAACAGACGTTGGATAAAATACAACCAGATTCAAACGGTTTATCCTGTGGAACGTTGCCTGATGGAAGTGACTCAACAAAGAGCCAAAGTGGAGAGAAGAAAGAGGTCTGAAGTGCCGAGAGCGATGGCCGTGGGCCTGTTACTCGATCCCACCTTCTTAAAAAGCCGCACATGTTCCATTTGTGTCAGCAGCTATTTATCGCTGACATGTGCTCGCGTGCGTTCCAGGTCTCTGCCCACCTCCCTCCCGTGGACACTGGGCCCCCCTGCGCCCTGACAGTCTAATGTTCGCATGGAATGTAACTTGAAGTGCCCCCCACCCCCGGGGCCTCTCCCTAGCGAGCCTCTGACCGCCTGGACCTTGATGAGAGCCTGGCTGCCCGAGCAGAGCCGCCACGCAGAAACGTGCCCGTGATCTGGCCGCTGCTCCCAGCGTCCGGAGTGCCGGCTGCTTTGCTTTAAAGAGGCACTTTCCCCCGCAGCCTGACTCCTGGAACCCAGGTTTGAGAGCAATCACTTTTGGAAATCTTTTCTCAGACGCCCCATAAAGGTCTCACCTTTCTGTTCCTAAATAAGAACGAGGAGTCATCTTTTCTGAAAACCAGCCCTACTGTGCCCCTCCTTTAAACATGAAGGGTGCCTTTAAGTTCGAATTTACAAGTGGCATTCTGAGATGGGACAGACCAAAACTAAAGACCTTGCCGGCTTCTTAAGCAAGGGAAAAAAAACCTAAGAACTAGGACCAGTTTTTTAAATAACAATACAGAACGGTGAGGTTTCCTTCCGCTATGAAGATCCTGTTACACTTGAATTGAAACGGAAGAAAAAACTTCATATTCTATGCCTTCATTTGCTTCGCTGTTATAATTTATCATGTGGGTTTGTATGTTGTAACTCTTAACACGTCTCCAAAAAAATCATATTTAAATTCCTGGTGATATTTGCACTAACACAGCGTTTCTCCCCTACGTCATTATTTCAAGCTTCATAAATTCGCCCGGGTAAAAGGAACAGTTACAGAACGGGGTCCCAGCCATTTAAATCCTAGACAAGGCACACAGCCAGGGGGTCCATCTGAGTCTAGAGAGGAAGGCCAGGGCTCCCGTCCCCCGGAGGTCTTTTCTGTTGCAACTAATCACAAATCAGCTAAGATCACATACACAGGCAGCGTCCATCATCATCAGCTACTTAGGAATCTACCTAACGTTTACACGAGGAGAAAAGAGTTAGCCTTCAGGTCATTTCAGAACCTTCAGGTCACCTCTGACACTTCAGGACTGCAAGGTTCCGGCCACTGGGCTTGCCTGGCTGCAGGTCTTTGAGCATATTCATGGTCAGACCCTGCGCTCCTGACCAGACCAACCAAACGTGGCCACCAAGGCAAGACTCAAATCTATCGCCAGCGTGTGCATAATAACCTAGAGCCCGTGCCTGGCTGTTGAACTCCTGCCATTGTGGAAAGGGCCCCGTTAACGCGAATAAAACAGTCGTAATGTTATGGCATGTTTTACTGAATTGGTCCAGCATGTTGGCACTGGAAGGTTCGGCTCGGAAATGTGTCTGGTGTCTTAACTGACAGACTTCCGGTGACTCTTAAAACTGGTTCAAAGATGGGGAAAACCATTCGACTAAAGAGTTTTACCTGAAGGACTGAAATTATAGCTCCAGCACTTGATTTTGAGCATTGTAGAATTTTGCACAGACACACTTTAAAGATCACCAACATTTGCATCTTTTTTAAAGTTTTGAGAAATGGCATTGACTTGCAAGTGTGTGTATATATATAAGCAATGGAGCAATGCTCTAGAAGTCCAGGTAACATATAAACTATATTCAGGTCTAATTTTACTTTCCATATTGCTGCCCCAAAATAAGGCGAATGAGAATTTCAGTTGTGCCGGCTTGCAAAGATGTTTTAAAATCACACAGTGCCTGACAACAACCAAAGCCAACCCAGGCTTCTTTTGGCATCATGAGGCAGGGACTTTTAGCCAACACTTGACTCATCTGACTATTTGTCTAGACCAGGGGTCTGCTCCCTTTTCCTTTAGAGACCCAGAGAGATGATGTTTTGGGCACGCTGGCCATACAGTGTCGCAACTACTCCACTCGGCGGTGGTAGCATGGATGCGGCCACAGACACTACGGAAACGAATGAGTGTGGCTGTGTGCCTGTAAAACCTCATTTCCACAAGCAGATGGCCGGTCCTCGGGCTGGAGTTAGCCAACCCCTGGCCTAGACTCCTCTGCCCCCGCTCTACAGCTTCTTTCTCGTTCCTTGGGCACCCGGGAGCTCAAAAGAGCACCAGTTCACGGTTCATGACAAGCTAATACTCGGGGAGGGTAGAACCATGTCTCGATATTACCATCAGGATCTTCTTGCTTATATATATATACAAGATCCAAATGGTAGCTGTGAGGTCATTACTGGTGCTGAAGTTCCTCTCTTACAGGCCTCGGTTCTTGTGTGTGTGTGTGTACCACCACCTCTATTGGAAAAGTCTCCCAACCCCACTCTCCAACTTGATAACAGCGTCAGAAATGACTGGTGGTTACCTGTCTTGTGGCAGAGTAAAGCAGAAGTCTTTACTACCTGGTTGTTTTCAGTTTAAATGCCTGCTTGCCCTGTATTGCTTTTGCTACCTTGAATCACTTGAAAAAAAACACAATAAAAAACTTCTCAGGCTATGACTCAGAAGGTGTTTTTCAACCCCCCCCCCCCCCCCCCCACTCACACACACTCACACACACTCCTGGAGATCCTATTTCATGGCAGAGAAAGAAAAGGAAAGAAACAGATCTCATAGATCAGTACAATTTAGTGCTATTGAAGAGTCATGGTGATAATGTGCACACTTTGCTCCAAAAGAAGCAGGTGCAACAGTGGACATGACTCAATGGATGGAAACAGTGAGCCAAATGCCTGAAGCCGAGAAGCCCGCTCTGTGCTTCCTGCTTCCAAGCGCACAGCTCATCCAGGAACGGTGACTGCACGCTCAGCCCCACCGACAGCGGCTCGGTGCTTGCCAGTCCCATAGTGACCTTCTGCACATCAATGCGGCCGTTACGAAAACCAACTTTCCCAACAGCCTTCCAGACCCTTAAGCCCTGTGGCTGGTTCGAGAGGCAGCCCTTGAACTGGGCAGCCGACTGCAAACCTGATCCATGTGTCTGGCACCGGCGGAAACGAGTGCTTTAGTGAGGTTGCTAGATAAACACACACTTCTTTGAGCTTTGAGGGCCGCGATCTCAGATCTGAACCTAACAGGACGGTGTGGGGAACTTAGAAATGTTACAGTTGTCAATCGTCTGGCTCTGGTGGTCAGCTTGAAGCAAAAATAAAATTCCACACGTGCACAGTCTCCACGCAAATACAGATCTTCTCGGGCTATTAAACCTCGTGTTTTAGCAATTGTGGTAACGAAGGGAAGAGCCTTCCCATCCAGGAATTCCTGAATCCAGCCCCGTTCTCACCAGCCTCGGGGTCCCACACAGCAGGCTGTCCGGTGCCAGCAGAGAAAATCAGTTACAGGGCGAGCGGCCTGTCCAAGGAAACATTCCTTGTTGCTAGAAAGGAGGGAACTCCTCCTCCCGGGCTGGTCCTCACTGCGAGTTAATGAGTCCCAACCACCATGTCAAAGAGGAACATCAGTTCCAATAGCCATGCTTCGGGGTCCCCCCGCCGGGGCCAGATGCTGCCCCCCGGAGTTTCATGGCGCTCCAGGCAGAGGCGAGATCGCCTCTGAGCTCTAGGAAAGCAGCTCCTCCCCGGGCGCTGGCAAGTGCGGGACCGAGAGGGAGCCCAGCTGTTCCCGGGGAACCGGCCTGCGTGGACCGAAGCCACTTTGCACATTTGAGCTGCTGCTCTCCAGACGCGCGCTAATCCTCCAGCGCCCGCGCACCCCGCTTGGGGAGCCTTTTCCTTCATGGTTCTAATTTGAAAACCAACCTCAGAAATGTGCTGAGGTCTGGGCTCCGCTCCTTCCATCCAAAGCACCTCACCTACACCCTCCAAGCACCAGACACGAACAAGGCAATGAATCAGCTCAAGGACTCTGGGTCCAGGGCCGCGCAGCTGGAGGGATCTGCCTGGTTATCGACCGCTAACCCGGTTACCCATGCCTCCCGCTGAGCACGGGTCCATTCATTCGCTCAGCATCCTTGATCGCGTGGAGTTATTAGGAATCTAAAAGGGAATGAGAATTGAAGACCAGCTCTTTGGGCGCTTACTGTCTGGCCAGAGAAACGGCGGCTTCGTTTACGGAGCCCTCGCTACGAGCCAGGCGGCGTGCCGAGTTGTTTAGCTGTGCCGCTCACTTAATCCGGACAGTTTGTCTATCGGGAGAAGGGTCCCTTCCTTGCAGATTTAAAAACCAGGGCAAAGACAAGAAGGGCACCTCGGGCACAACATCTAAGGAAGCTCAGCATGGGGTGGCGAGGGGGCTGGCCCTGCGGCCGCAGGCCCCAGAGAGTGGCCCCTCGCTGCCTCCTGGCCCTGGCAGGGGAGTTCAGGGACTTGGCCAGTGCCATCCAGCTGGCAAGTGGCAGAGCTGGGATCTGAACCCAGAACTGCTAGCTCTGTAACCCACACTCCTACTACGAGTCCCAACAGATCAACACTGCACAGAAGCACAAGGATGCTTACGTGACCGGAGTAAGGGCACAGGAGCCCACAGGGCAGAGAGGTCACTTCTGGCTGGGGACGTCTTCGAGGGAATTGGCGATTATAGTGAATTAAATGTTGCCCTCCCTCCTCCCCCCCGAAGATATGTCCACCGCTGAATCCCCAGAACCTATAAAATGACTTTATTTGGAAAAGGGGCTTTCCAGGTGTAACTGAGTTAAGGGTCTTGAGATAGCTAGTATCCTGTGTTATCTGAGTGACTCCTAAACTCAACGACGAGTGTCCTTATAAGAGACAGAAGAGGAAACAGAGGAGAAAGCCACATGAGACCGAGTCATGAAGGTACAAGCTGCGGGATGCCTGGAGCCATCAGAACTGGAGGTGGGTGGACGAGCCTCCCTTAGAGCCTTTGAAGGGGCCGACCCCACCGACCCCTAATTTCCACTCTGTCATCTAGAACTGAGGGAGATTTCTGCGGGTTTAAGGCAGCAGGTTTGTAGCGCTTCGCCGCAGCAGGAGTACAGGTTGAGCTGGTCTCGGAAGCCCAGGTAGGACTTGGACGTGGGAGGAAGCCCAGGAGAGAAAGAGGAACTCGGCAGCCCGAAATAAACCCAGGGAGAGTCTGAGTCCATGTCACAAGAGAGAGATGCTGCTAGGACGAGGAGGGCGGCTGCAAGGCCCTGAGTGACCAGCTCTGATCGAGACTCCAGAGTGTGGGCTGGATTGGGGAGGCAAATGGTGGCATGACTTCACTTCAGGGTCAGGGCCGAAGACACAATCCGTGTCTTTTCCAAAACTCACCCGTCAGAATCTAATGACATTTGCCGTGTATCTTTCTGAGTCATTCACTATCGATATTAGATGGCGTAATAAATGTTCCGCACATCATGGCTGAGTTCGAGTTCTGCGTTTCTGCCCATCACTTCCTACCAGGAACTTCCTACCTGGGCCACAGGCTGGGCAGTGACCGCTGAGACGGCCCAGGCAGAGAGCTCTGCCCAGACAAGGACATGCTGGCCGCCCAGAGCCCCCTCTCCGGGAGACGTGGAGAGCGGCACGCAGTCGGGAGTGAACTGAAGTCCCACGGCTCTGAGAGCTGCGGGTGGGAAGGAACAGCTAAGGGATGCAAGCATGTCAGCAGTGACCTGAAGTGAGAAGGAAGAAGGAATCACGGCAGCAAAGAGCTATGAGCCTTGGGCAGAGGAAGGGGAAGAGGGCAGATGGCACAGAGAGGCAAAGACTCAGGGCGGCCCCGGCCAGGCTGGGAATCGTAGCAAACCCCTCCCTTGTCCAGCACTGGGGAGACTATCCGTGCCCGGCCCCCAAAGGGGCCTTGTTTTCACAGCGCTCACTGGGTTTCCAAAGGACGTCAGGTGGGGCTGCGAGCCCAGAAAGGGGAAGACAGAGCCCGTTGGAGAAAGGGAGGGCCGCGCTATGGAGAACTCAGATCACAGTGCAGAACCGTTCGCACCGACGGGGCAGTCTTGCGACAAGGGACAGAAGAAGGTGGGCCCACGGAGAGGACCAGGAGGCCCTGGTGGATCCCAAGATTCATCGCATGAGCACCCCAGCCCGTTCATC